TTGATCGATGGGATCCGGGGGATAAATCAGGATGAATATTGAGTCGGGGGGAGAGCTGTGAGCTTTACGCACATGATATGAGCTTTTGCAGTGGTAGTGATGCATGTGATAAGTTGAGGAGATACAGCAGCATTTGTCATTCTTGCAAATGGTGGTATGATAATTTCCTAAGAGGCTTGTGTCTCTGTACACAAAGGAATTGATTTTAGGGCGAAGGAACTGAGTGACCACACCTTATTGGATGAGTCAAGAGTGCATGATAAGGATCAGTAAAAGGGCTCTAAGGTCTAATGCATACAGGAGTGAGTCTTATAATACATACAGGGGGATATTGTGCTGTTTTATCTCCCTTACACGCGGCAGTAAACTTTTAATGAACCATGTTACTTTGGAATCAAACTCCACATGCGATTTTAAATATTAAGAGCCCGCATGAACTCAGTGAACCTGCAGCGTGCTGACTGCTCTCTCCCCCGAGTGTCTGCTCCCTGCCCGTCCTATTCTGCCTGTCCACAGCTCACATCACCGAGGAGAGAAGAAGAGGAGGGGGAGGAGGAGGAGGAGGAGGAGGAGGAAGAAGAGAGGGGAAATAACTATGACAGTCAGGGTTTAGTAGCTGTGTGTCCCTCGGCACAGACACCAGGCACCTTATTGCTGTCTGTCTGCATGGCCCTCCATCAATCAAGAGTGTAGTCGAGCAGAAAACAAACATCGTCTCCCAGACTGGACACACATACATTAGACTTGTCGGTATTAAACGCACAATCTTAAAAGTGTGTACACTTTCCTTGATGTTATAAATGGCAAAAGGCTCCATATTGATTTAGTCTGCAGGTCAAATAGACCCAAGACCGCCCAGATAGTGATGAATTGAAATAATCAAATTCCTACAAATATAATCAATATATATCAAGCATGCATATTTGACACCAGGCCTGGCCTCTTCCATGACATGCAATCATATTTTATTTTTCTTCCATATCTCAATGAAATACTGACACATTCTGCTATTTTGGCCCAGTTATAATTCACTCATCATCTAAAATGGCCCACATTCACAGTCTGTACCCTCCCTAATAAAATTGGAGTCTGATATTTGATTTTCATCCCCCAGTCTTAAATTCTTCCTTTGACTGCAAAGCAATTCTGCAAAGGGATGGTTTTTTTCTCCTTTTCTCTCTCTTTCATTCATGTCTTTTTGCGGTCACACCACACAGAATTTGGGTGAGCAAGCTTTACAACAACAGCAACACACAAGGATGGCCCAGTTTTCATAAGGAGATTTGATACAGTTAAATTTTTCACACCCTACCGAGAGAAAGAGCGAGAAAAGAAAAAGAGAGAGAAAGAGAGCGAGATAGAGAGAGAGAGAGAGAGAGAGAGAGAGAGAGAAAGAGAGAGAGAGAGAGAGAGAGAGGCTGGCTCGCTTTGAAGGGACCGGAGATATTGGGTGGGGTCGCTGGCGCTGCATTATGCTGCACGGCTCTGAGTCAGGCAATAAGGGGGCAGGTGCGGCACGCAGACATCGACTAAATGCTGCTGTGTGATGGTAAATAACCCCACCTGTCTCACCTTTATTCTGCTCAATAAGACAGTTAGATTGATTTTTTTTAAATGCGTCACAAAAATGGCAAACTGAATCCAAACTGACTCACATTGATCGACACTCATTTTGGATTTAGCACCAGTCATTCTCCACATAAATATCCTGTATTCATTTTAGCAAAGAAAAAAAAAAAAACAAAGATTGAAAAATATGAAAATGCAGTTAAGAAACTTAATTCTTGGAGAAGTGACTTGCAGAGGAGTTTGGCCGCTCCCTCTCACCCATCCTCAGCATCCTTTTGTGCCATGGGTGTCGCCACAGCCTCTCAGCATCCTTCAAACCTGCGAAGGCGTTGGTAAATTCCCTAAAAACATATAGCCTAATGGAGGAAAGTGTTGAACTCACCGATAGCGGTCTTAGCCATGTCTGTACGGTGATGCCGGGGCTGGTGGACCGGAGCAGAGTGCGTCAGTAGCTGGGTGCTGTATCTCGGGGTGAAGGGACTGCTGGTAAGGCACTGAGTCAGCAGAGACAGGGGCTGCCGGTGCGCCTGGTGGTCTGTTTTGAGCAAGTCAGTGGTAAAAAACCCAGGGCAGAGCCGGAAGTAAGAAAACTAGCCTTCAGAATAAAAGTCGTAAACAAATACATCTGGATGACTGATTATTTATGATATACAACTTTAAAATTTAGAAAATGTATAGATTATGTAATTGAATATGAATAAGCAACTGTTTTGATGAATGATTAAGAGTTACAGTCTTTTTTTCAGACAGAAAAGCCAAACTCTTGATACAAGCTTCTATTTGTAGTCACAGGCCTTATCAAAATGACATGTTGAGATGGTTCAGGTGTCTGGTTAGGATGCCTCCTTTAAAGGTCTTCTGGGCAGGTCCAGCTGGTGGGAGATCCTGGGGTACATGCAGAATGCGCTTGGAGGTAGGGGAGCGATGATATATCCCTTCTGGCCTGGCAACGCCTCAAATACCCCAAGAAGGAGTTAGAAAAAGCTGCTGGTGATAGAGATGTCAGGAACAACTTCTTGTCTGCTACCACTACAAACCAGCCCCGGATAAGTGGGAGAAAGTGGATGTATGGATGGCTGGATGAAATGATATTGTCCTGAGAATTCATCACCTCAAGCTGTAATTAATTATAATGGACTTTACACAGTGTTTGACTTAACAATTGGGTTAATGAAAAAAAAATAACTAGATTGATTATGATTATCTTAATATGCTCTACAAGGGATTTTTGGACAACGTTAAACATAGAAACCAACTTAAAGTAAAGTTTAATTGTTGTTTTAACCTATTTTTTTTGCCTATGATATGAATAAAAGAAAACATTTTTTTGGCAGTGTTGTTGTATTGTTGAGTTTAGGTATTCATCAAATAACTGACCTTGGGGAAACAATGGTTTGGCTTACAGTAACATTCACGTTTCTATAAGTAGAATCTTTTGAGTTTATCTTATTCAATATTCTTTATTCTTTTCTGTAAAAAAAAAAAAAAAGAGGTATCTTTACTAAAGCTGTGTTGGAATCACTGGACTTGAGCACCTCTACCTCCTTGCAGATTTTTGTTGCCATCTAACAAGCTGTATCATCCCCCACAAACACACCCACACATTACGTGAACCTGCACCACATTTATTTTGAAATGCAAGACAGGAAGTCTCAACATGCAATCTGATTGGCTTGACGGTGGGTCAGTAATAAGCGTGTATGTGCCTCCTACAGCATATTGGCTACCTCTCCTAACCAAAGCCCTGACAAATCAAATGTCCCCTCGTCAGGGAGAGTTCAGGCCCCTCAGCAGTGTGGGTGTTTCCCTCTTTGTTTCTGTGCTGATTAGTCTCTGTCCATGGTGCTGAGCGATTGGGGCATGACACTTGAAATTATAACATTAAGATTTGAGATACTTTTTTTCTTTAAATTTTCGTTAAATACAGGATTGAGGTAGGCTTCTCATTTTTAAGCCGAATCATGACTGTTGATGCCATTTTTTGGAAAAACTAACAAACAAATAAAGAAGGATTTCAAACTGTAACCAAGGCTGCATGTTGCTCGATAGTGAGTTAGTGAAAACCAATGCATAAAACATATAAATATAAATCATTTAACAGTCAATTTGCCCTATCATACCAGTCATTGCCTCTGTGTAGCTGCAGGAAATACTATTCTGTCAAGTCAATCCTTCAGAGTATGGATGGAGTAGCCTACAACAATCACTAGGTGGCAGCAGAGCTCAGGTTATGCGCTTGACTGCATTGATGGTTTACTGCGGACCATTTACAACATTTAGCCTTGTAACACTGAATCAGTCTTTATTTAGCAGATCGATCAAACTGCATTCAAAAACATGCAGCGTGTTAGAACTGTATTTCTTAACCGATTAATCTACATATCATTCCCTAGCCTACTCTAAACAGTAAGTAGGGTATGACCACAGCTCAAAGTCATTCACCATGTTCCTTATCATAAAGCTTCTGTTTGTAGAGCTCAGGTAAAGCAGAAACGTTGCTGCTGGTTATTTAAATCAATGGATAGCGTACGTCAAATTGCAGTGTGATCCTATAAATGGTCACTGATTAACCAGAACAAGTTTTAGTTTAGCCTAATGCTGAAGATATTGGCCTGCTTACATTGAATTACAAATGTAGGCTATATTATTTTGAGGTTGTTAGTGTTGCACCCATGAAAAAAACAGGACTCTGTCTTCCTTTGGCAACTTTATTCTTCCCGGTGCTGTATGTTTTATGAGCATCTTTCGTAAGAAGCATCGGGTCCTCACAACAAAAACGGCATACATGCAACATCCATCTCTTGACCACGACCCCGACTATTTACGTCACCTCTGCACACAGGCCGATGACGTCATATATCAAACCTAAAATTAAGAGTTAATAACAACTTTTTTTTTATTTCTGTGTAAACTAACATGACATTACATTACCTGCATGTTTTTTTTAATTAACAAATTAAACAAATGTGAAATAATATTATATACAGTACTATCTAACTTATAGTGTAGTGTGCTTTCTTCTGTCAAATTGAATTGCATACAACTATTTATAGGTCGCAACACCAGGGTAAAGTAGAAATATAGATAATAAAGCCTTAAATGTAAAAACATTTTTTTTTAAAGTCTACGTCTGCTGAGTGATAGTAGCAACATGTCGATCACTGCTATCGTTACTATGAGGGACAAAAAATGACTAAATTATAAATAAATAAATAAATGAATAAACAAATAAATGTTGGGAGAAATGCATACAATAGAGTATAAATAATGAAATAATGAAATAAATGCATCAATAAATATATAAATAAATATATTCATATATTTATTTATGTATTTCTGTTAAATAAATACAGGTGTGTTTTTTTTGGCGGTTCAGTGGGAGGGGTCGGGACCCTCCTGTGTCGGTGGATGAGGAGGAGGAGCCGAAAAGCTAGCTTTAGTGCAGATGTCTAGGTATCGCCTGTAAACTGGCCAAAGTTGGTCTCACGAACCGGACACAGGCACATGTGAGGCTGCTTCACACACTGGAGGAAACATTCAAGGAAAGGTAACTATTGTCTGTGGTTTTTTTTTACACTGTGCACTTCCTGAACTATGAAATGATTTAACGATGTACATCTGACGTTAACCGGTATTTGTTTTATCAATAGCATCATATATGTTTGTGACTAAGCTAGCTTTGTTAGCATCCCTGCGGAAGTCAGAAAGATACAGTTTAAATCGGCGCCAGCTGATGTCGGCTACTTAATTAATGTGTTGTGAAACGCGCTTTGATTGGTCCTCCTCGTTCCTCCTTGCTCGTTAGCGGGCGATAACATGAGCTATCAAAATATATCCGGCGCTAATCATGAACAGTGAGCAGCATGTTTGAATAAACATTAGAGGATGTTTTGGTTACCGTGAATCAAACTGTGGGTAGTTTAACCATGATAGTGAAGTTGAGACTTAAAGTTACACCCATTTAGCAAACGTAGAGACATATTGTAGTCTGTGTCCACGTCTTCATCATGTCTGCAGCATGTGAAGTTTTAAAAGTAGAAACTTTGCTCATACATTTGTCAAGACGCTGTTTCTTCAGTGGAAAAATATTAATCACTTAATAACTAAACAGCAGTAGCTTAACTGGACGTCTATGTTCCCACATGTGCGAGTAGTCTTTCATTTCCTCGACAGAAAGTTTTTTTTTTTTTTTTTGAGCTTAGTGCTGAACAGAGGAATTTTACTGCTGCAGCCATGTTGGCTCAAACGGCTCAAACTGACAGAGCAGATGTTACATCTCATTGGAGTAGTAGTAGGACGCACGGTGACTGTCCTTCATAGGCTGTTATGTCGCACATTTCAACAATGCAATTCAAAGTGCTTCACACAAGACATCAAAAGCATCATGACAGAGGAAAGAAAAGAAACATTAAAATATAACATTGAAATTATTCATAGACGCATTATGTTTTTCTAAGAAGTATTGGACCATGTGCTGATTTTTATTCTGTGTCCATAATACAAGTGAAGTGTCATAAGATAATGAAATGAAAAAGACATTGCCAGATACAGATAACATTGTTTCCCCCACATGGTTGGCAGTAATGAGCACATTGTGTTACACACAAATGATGATGCTGTTAATAGTTCAGCTCTTGTGGCATGTGTTGTGCAATATCTGGCTTCTTGTGTGTTTGATTGCATGTGCTCTGTTCAGACTACTGCACCTTATTTGTACAGCTGTTTCCAAGAAAGACAAGTTTTGTTAATTGTGGCTAAATTTGGATCCATTGTCTGAGGCCCTTGAGAACTGAATCCTCAGGGTAGATGAGTTCAGGATGGTTTGCTCTAAACTTTAAATGAAATAGAGCGTCAGTCAAGACAGCTTTGTAAGGCAAATGTTGCCTTAGTTGACATATGTATTTTGAATGGATAAATTGAGCTGACTTATTGACAGCTCAATTGATTGGACTCATACTGGTTTGACTAAATATTCCTTTTTCCATTTCCCATCTGCACAGCTGTCTTAAGAGTCAGCCTCTGGTTGGACACTTTAATGATAACCTCAATTATTTAAATTTAAATCGCACCTTTAATGTTTGCACTGACTGTGATTTAATGTATGTTTTTTATTCTTTTTAAACAAAAAAAAGATTCATCTTGGGGTATTCTTTAAATCTTTTTTTCAGGTTAATATATATGTATGGGAGGGGGTGTCGTCGTTTTTGTGGTTAATTTGTAACAAATGTTTCATGTCATGTACGTCTTTGTAACCTGCTACTGGATGCTTAAATTTCCCTCGGGATCAATAAAGTATCTATCTATCTATTGTGAATGTTTATATATTGAATATTTTAAAATATTGTATCCATCATACATGCTCTGTGTTGAAAGTTCTCATGCCAGCAGTCACACCTGTGTATGGGAACCAGAGAAGAGTTATAAAGCGCTCAAATGAACTTCTGCTCAGACACAAAATGGAGACTTGAAAACACTGCTGCAGGCTTTTTCAAAAAGGTCACATTGCATATTCACGGTTGCATGCGTTACTGGCACCTTTATACATCTGAAAGGAGTTCATTTAATCCATTCAGTAACTCAATCAGTCATTCAGTTTCTTTTTAAGCGTTTACCTTTAAGGCTTTCCAGCTTCTAAAAAGAAGCCTAATTGCTGACATTGTGCTTGCTCTGACTCGGGTTTCACTTCACTTCACTGCGGTTGTTTTTTAAAATACTTTTTGATCAGTAACCTTATTACTTCTTAACTTTTCTAAAATAGCAGGTCCTGTTGACAACTATTATCTGTCAATCATTTTTAGCAAAGTGTCATTTGCTCAGGGATATCCTTTAAACATTTAATGTAAGCTTCTGTTTTGAAGCAGTTGAAGTTTTTTTTTTCTGGTGTAATTATGTTATATGATCTGTGCAAAGACTATTCACTCGTCAGTGACCTATTCAGCATTTTGAGGCTGAATCCAAGTGATTTCCATAATGTTAAAACTAGTCAGAAGAACTCCTGAAATGTGTGAAGCACTTCTGTGACACTGTATTTACTTGTTTTTCTTACAGATTATCCCAGTGAAGGATTAATCCTCGGATTCCACAATGGCGGTTTGAGACCTACAAACTCTTAACCTCCTGGTGACACGCCCACCTCCTTCTCTCTTGTCCTGGTTTCCCCCAAACTGCTTCTCATTCATCCAGTATTTATCCCTTTTGCCTTGTTTTGGTGCCTGGTGCTGCCTGGAATCAGTCTGTCCTCATTATCGTTCCACATCACTCCCCTGATACCTCCTCTCTGCGCCCGGGCTGAGGGGCCGTAAATCCCTCAGAATGGTGGCCGAGGCAGACTCGGTGTCTCAGGGCAGCGGTGTGCGGCTGAAGCAGGAGATTTCCCTCCTCCATGGCGTCTGTCTCATCGTAGGAAACATGATAGGCTCTGGCATCTTCGTTTCACCTAAGGTAAAATTGTCTTCTCTGTTCAGCCAGTTGTATTTGTTTCCTGGATTGAACTGTATTTTCTTGTTAAATGATAGAGTTCACTCAACTGTAAATGTTGAAGTGTTCATTTTTTCAATCTTTTGTTATCCTGCAGGGAGTTCTAATGTACACGGGCTCATTCGGCCTGTCCCTTGTAGTGTGGGCCATTGGAGGGATATTTTCTGTGTTTGGAGCATTATGCTATGCTGAGCTGGGCACCACCATCCGTAAATCTGGAGCGTCCTACGCCTACATCCTTGAGGCCTTTGGAGGATTCTTAGCTTTTATTAGGTATGTGTGATTTAATTTTTCTGTCAGCTGGCACAGTTTCTCAAACATTTTTCAAGTGATAATGATGCTAGCAAGTACATTTCGTTATACAATGTGTATATAAAATCAGGAAAAAAGGAGAATCTATTTGAGCACACAGTTGTCCTTTCACTTGTTTAACTGGTCTTTGACAGTTATTATTATTATTAAGGCTTTTTATATTGTTTAGATTAACTCTGTGCATATGTCTCTTTCATGGTAACATTAAAGGTCACATATTATGATAAATACACTTTAACAGGTTTTTTTAACACTAATATGTGTCCCTAGCCTGTCAACAAACCCCCCAGTTACGAGAAAAGTCCTTCCTCTGTCTTTTTCATGCTCCATTTTTCTGCAGAAGTGTGCTCAAACAGACCATTTGGAGATCTTCCCTTTGTGACAATACATAAATGTATAGTAGGAAATTTTGTGCTGATCTCAGACTCACACACACAAGCTGTTTCAAACACTGACGAACAGCCACACACACACACACAACAACAAGCTAACATGTCTGAAGTGTAGACATTAGATACAGAGTAAAAAATAAGGTAAAGTACCTCTCTGCCCAGGCCTGATCCAGGAGTCTGTGCTCCCTATATGTGCGCACTCCAGCTGTCTGTCTGTCTCTCTCAATCTGAGTCGTGGGTTGGTGGAGTGCAGCATGTTAAAATATTATTTATCACTTTGCAAAACATATTATTGATGAATATTGATAATTAACGGCTATAAAGACGACAACAACTTTTTGCGACCACAAATACTGTTTACAGAGGCAGAGAGAAACGGACCAGTAAGAGATCAGTTCTTCAGGAATCAGGGAGCTGAAGAGAGTGAATAAACAGTTAGCACTCAGTGTTTTATTAGGAGCATAAAATTAATTTCTATTAAAGAAAATTTCCAAAAATCTTTTTTGTTGCTGTCAATTACAGATCTTTAAAGAAAGTAAATAAGTATTGGCTGAAAATCGGTATCTGTGCAAGTCTGTGCATCTCTAATCAACGTGATCATTTTCCTGTAGACTGTGGACGTCGTTGTTGATAGTGGAGCCAGCCTGTCAGGCGGTGATAGCTCTGACCTTCTCCAACTACCTGGTCCAGCCTTTCTACCCCACCTGCTCCGCCCCCTATACCGCTGTCCGCCTCATTGCTGCCGCCATCATATGTAAGACTCTCCCTATACTAAACACACTTTCATGGACGACTAAGGTGTGTGTGTGTGTGTTTTCTATACAGTATGTACCCATCGTCAGAGACATGGTGGAGCTGTACTTGCAGGATGGTTTAACCAGAGCGTTCAAAATACTGATCTGTAACTGTACATTGAATTAACAGTTTTGTTACTATGTTACAATTCACTTAGCAGATGCTTTTTATCCAAAGCGACGTACATCAGAGAGTAAGTACAACACTAATCCATTCATACACCACCGCCAAAGCTGCGGGAGCAATGCAGGGTCAAGTGTCTTGCTCAAGGACACATCGGACATGTTGCACAGCTGGGGAAACAGACATTACACATACATTACTGTGTATGAAACCTGGAGTGTCTTGCTCAATAATGTTTTGGTTTTTTTGCTTTATTCAAAGTGTCAGCTGCTCTGCGGTTGACCTGAAACTAGTTTAAACTAGTCTAAAATGGCATGCAGCTTTGTGAACCACTTGGGTTCCTAGAGAAATGAATGACTTAAATATTTAGTTAGTAATTTCAGACCTGTTTATTTACTGAAAATGTCTGACTTTGTCGTATTTGTGCTGTATGTTCAGTACAGTCGGTATTGAAGACATGATCAAATGAAATCAATCACAGTAAATTTGTTCAGCTCTTATACACGCTGGGGAGCCAACATGCTTTTGTCTCTCTGAAAAGCTGCACTGTGGTATTTTATCTAATTTGAAGTTTCTCGGCTGTTTGTCCATATGTTAACCTTCAAATCTTCTCCTGTTAAGTCAACAGCAGACTGTTTGAGGAAGTGTGCCGAGGGAGTTCACACAATAGCTGAAAGGGAAAGCCATAAACGACTATATCCACGTCTACTTACACAGACAGTGTTTAAAAAGTCAGTGAAGTTTATTGTTGGCAGCACTTCTATCCATGCATTCTCATTTTAAAAAGATTAAACATGTTTCTTTGTGGCATTGTGATAAAGATAAAAATAAACTTTATTGAACCCCATGGGGGAAATTATTTTGTCACAACAGCTCAAGAAACAGGAATATAATTATCAAAAATAACAAGAAGTTAAAAATCAAACATATGTACATCAGTTAAATAAAGGGAGAAAAAATACAATAATAGAATAATACAAGGTATGTACACTTCCACTTGTGGAAAGAGTTATTATTATTATTATTAAAACACACAGTGTGAAGCATTGTTGATATGAGTCATATGATTTTTCTAAACACAGAGTCCGCCTGCTAGTTCCAGGGATTAAAATCCCTCTGTGTGCTTAAAGCCTCAGATATACGACACCACTGACCAGCAGAGTTTGTCCTCTTTCCACATGTAAACACTTTCCATGTTTATAAATAAATGAACCTCTGCTCCCATCCCACCTCTATTTTTTCACTCTATCGAAAGGTCAGTGTAATTTTTATTTATCATATCCTGTTTTCATTTAGTTCATGACAGAAAAAAGACTTATCTCTCACTCTGTAATCCCTGCTCATCCTCTCCTTTCTGTGTTCATCATTCAGTATAAACGCATTACATTTAACACTGGCTGACTCCTTACTCTCTCCATCAGGTCTGCTGACCTGTGTGAACTGTATGAAGGTCAAATGGGGGGCCATTCTTCAGGTCATCTCCACGTTTGCCAAAGTGCTGGCTCTAATCGTCATCATTATTACTGGTCTTATTAAGCTGGGACAAGGTAGGACATGCAGAAAAATGTTTTGTCAAATATACTAGTCCAACACTTTACATAGCTGAGAATTGATGTGATTACATGCTTTTATGATTATCTGGTATATCTATTGTTAAACAAGACATGGTCTTATGAGGGCATACTCGTTTTGTAAAGATTAAAAAAGATGCAAATTCAGTGTCCTCCAAATTGAATATTCAAAAAAATATTTAGCCCAGGATGTTGAAAGCAAGGACAGCCCTTGTTCCTGTACTGTGTTCATGTGGGTTCTATGTTTGTGCAGGTTTTGACCAGAACTTTGAGGACTCCTTCAAAGGGTCCAAGCTGAACCCTGGTGACATGGCCCTGGCTCTTTACTCAGCTCTGTATTCCTACTCCGGCTGGGACACGCTCAACTTCATCACAGAGGAGATCAAAAACCCAGAGAGGTTACAAAGTTCCTTCATTTTCATTCCAGATTCTCTCTTTACTCAATAAAAGTAACCTCACTGCTGTGAAACCGGCAACACTGGAGTTTCATTCAGTCAGAGATTTAAACTTTGCATCTTCTTTGTCATCTCACCAAGTATGAATGGTATGCAACACAGCTACAAATGAACTGTGGAAGTATGTACTGCCCAAGCTTTTATTACAAAATGTTTCATCAGCTGTTGACAAGAAAGACACCTGATATCTTTACTGATAGAAAAATGAAGACCACTTTTCTACTTTCCTTTTAGGAACCTGCCCTTGTCCATCGCTATCTCCATGCCCATTGTCACAGTAATTTACATCTTGACTAACGTGGCTTACTACGTCGTCATGGATGCAGACAAAGTGCTGACCAGTGAAGCCGTTGCTGTGGTGAGTTGTTTAAAGAAGCTAAATATGTAGCAATGTGACTTTGTGCATACTTTTGTTCAACTCTTATCAGTGCATCACAGGAGCAGCTGGGTTTGATCTCTCCTATCTCCTGCTGTCTTCTCTTTCAGCCCCATGCACAAAGCATCTGCTTCATTACTTGCTCTTTGTTATCTGTGACTGTAGGGGTCCAGATGATGACAGGAACATCATTTAGCTAAAGAGGTTAGCGCCCCACACAGGAACATAGGAAAGCTGATGATGTGATTAGTGCGTTAGCGGAGGGAGAATTGTACTCAGGCATGTTGACAGTGGTATCAGTGTGTTCATTCAGACAGTTCACTAATCCTACAAGCCATGGGGCTGTGTTGTCTTGAATACATTATGAGAGAAGAAGTAATTAGTTTGCATGACTGGGTTGAGATTGTAATCTCATTATACTCTCTTGTCACTCCAGCATGGCAAAGGTTAAAATAGCTTAACTTAAATTAAAACATGAAAGAACATCTTTGCTCTGTCAGAGGTAGGGCTGTAACAAATGTGTTATTTATTATTTAGATTAATCTCCTGCTTATTGGTTGTTTGATCTTTAAAATGTGTCTCCAGAAATCCAAGATGCCGCCCTAGATTGAATGAAAATCAGAGAATATGACTTTTCTTTTTCTTTTTTTTCTTTATTTTACAGGTATGGAGCATGTCATAAACATTTCTGTAAATATGCCAGAGTTAGCCAAAATCTCTCTCTGTGCTTTAAAATTAAGAGTCATTGATCTTACCGTTGAACTTGTGTAAGAATTAAGCATTTTGTTGAATCTCTCCTCAGACTTTTGCAGACGAAGCGCTGGGCTGGGCTCGATGGCTGATCCCTCTGTCTGTGGCCATTTCTTGTTATGGAGGTCTAAACTCCTCTATCATTGCTGCCTCCAGGTCCGTATATACAAGAACATCTGAAGCTGCGCCACATTTACATTTATTTTAATTCCGGGAAAACAATGTGCTAACATGGCAATGTCTAAAAAAAAAATGTTCCTTTCTCTCCTGCAGGTTATTTTTCGTTGGTTCAAGAGAAGGGCACTTACCAAATGTCCTGTGCATGATCCACATAAAGCGTTTCACCCCGATTCCTGCTCTGCTTTTCAATGTAAGTATGGTTAACTTTTACTGTTCTGAAAAAAAGAACCAGAGTGTTTATTCCGTCTCACTGATGTTTCTTTGTGTTCTGTTTTTCAGGGTGGTATGTCTCTGATCTACCTGTCTGTGCCTGACGTTTTCCAGTTGATCAACTACTTCAGTTTTAACTACTGGTTGTTCATCGGCCTGTCGATAGCCAGCCTGATCTACCTTCGCATTACAGCTCCAAATATGCACAGACCTGTAAAGGTAAAGACTAATGCAGCTTAAACATGCATGATGAGCAGGGACCATAGGGACTCTGCCTTCAAGACAAACGTTAGTACCGTATCTCTGGGTGTTATGAAACAAGCAGAGACATGAAATCTAAGTGTCAAGAGTGATATATATCAATCGTTTCTGTGGGAAATTGGGGCCGCTTGAAAGTTCTCTATCAAACTCAAACCAGCTACAGTTTGTAAGAAACTTAAACCAGACCCAATTATGCATTTAATTTCTAACTACTTTTATGATAGCTGTATTTTCAACTTTTTTCTGTCAACTTCAAGTCTTCACTTCTTACTTTTTATTAAGCAGTTTATGTTTTTTAGGCTGTGAGAAATCCAAGATGACCCAAATCGCTTCTTTGCTATACAGACGTCTAACAAAGGAAAGGCATTGTGGTTTTGAGTGATTTTAATCACCTGGCCTTACCAAACACTCTTCATACAGTAGTTGTCAAAACTTTCTGTTAGCTTGTCTGACCCTAAAAAAAAAGTAGAAATAAATATGTATTTTATGCTTGCACTAACTATTCTGAATATTTTCAGAAAGTATATTTTGCCTTTTAGCTGCAAAGGCTCAAGTCACTTGTAAACCAATAATACAGTGTGTCCTTTTCCCATGCCCCCACCCCGTCGGAGGGCCAAAGGGCCTTATTATGAAAAACCTCAAGCCCCGGGGATTTCTCATCATGAAACTGACTGTCCACCTCAGCTCCAATTCAATGCTTGTGCTGAAAAGAAAATAATTTGAACACTAAATGAAAGAAACTACGTTGATCATAGCTGATTTTTTTCCTCTTGACAACTCAGGTCGGATAGATACTGTGCCGTCCATTAACTTTTGAGCGTGTATGACTTTTTCTCTTCAGTCCCTCTTGTTGACCTGACTCCTCTCAGTGATGTCTTTACTTATGAGTTATGATTTTGTTAAAAGTTCTTGATGTTGATTTAATTCCCCTACCATTAAAGTGAGTACATGCTCTGCAAACTGGCTGAGCAACTCAAGGGCTATTAAAGTCCATATCTAATCATCAGGGTCATGGTTTAACTTAATTCAATACTATTGTATTTCTTGATGCAATTGTTTTACATTTGATTCTAAAAAAAAAAATGTCCCTCTTTCTCCTCCTCCCACCTGTCCCCTGCAGCTCTCTCTGTTCTTCCCCATCGTTTACTGCTTGTGCAGCATCTTTCTGGTAGTGGTTCCCCTCTACAGTGACACCATCAACTCTCTGGTGGGCATTGCTGTGGCGCTGTCTGGTGTGCCAATCTACTTCATTTGCATCCACCTGCCAGCCAGCTCCAGACCAGCCTTCCTCGGTCGAATGCTCGGTAAGTGGGGGGCAACCCACTTTTCACTCAATTATATAATTATTTAATCCATTATACCATAGCTACTGTAAAATCATGTTTTTTTATTTAAAGGTTCACATTCAACAACTCGGCATTGTAAAACAAGGACACTACATTTCACCTTCTTGGCAGCACTCATTTTTCAGTTTTAAAAATGTATTACTTTATTTATTCTTGGAAACAGTTTGTGCAACAACTTGATTTCCTGTTACCTTAAGCTCACTTTGGCATCCAGTTATGTCTGCAAGCATTTCTCAGGACCCAATAACATAGCGTCCAAGTCCTGTGACATACAGTAAGCTCTAAATGAATGTGTTTGTGGGATGTTATTAAGAGTAACTCCTGAAAGTAGCTTACTAGTCTTATCCTTCTACCATAGTGTGCATAAAAAAAACACCTTTTTAGTGTAAAGTTTAAGAGTGTTGAGATTATGGTTTCAAAGTTCAGTGTGCTTAATGCCCACATGTTGTCAAGTTAAAAACTCCTGCCTTGGGGGTACTTTCATCCTTCATTGTATTTACTCAGGGCTAGAATGCTTGAGACTGTTTGTCCTAGACTAACACCAGTATCTGTTAAAATCAACCACCATTTTTCTTCTGTCACTGCAGATAATCTGTCTCTTAACATCCAAAAACTGTGCATGTGTTGTGTGGCCTCGCCTAATACCGACCTGGACAACATAGACCCAGAAAAGACTGAATGAGATAACAAAAAGCACACGTTTGAAGAGTATTATGGAGGAGAGTGAAGAGTGAACACTTAAGGAATCCGTGTGATGCAAACAATCAGGATTTACATATGTGAAGCTTGATGGATTTAACGAGGAAATAATGGAGAGCTAAGCTCAACACTTCTACTCCTACTCATCTCCTACATGAGCCATATTTTTAAAGGAGAAAGAATGACACATGATCACCGTCCTACAAACCGCACTGTACAGACAAGATCAGTGTGGCATGTGCACACTCGCATGCTCTTGTACACTGCAGTGTTGGCTGTTCGATTCCCTCCTTTACATGTCCAAATAAACTACAACTCACTCAACAATAAGCTGCCATAAAGCCTTAAGGTGGCACTGCAATAAAACAACAGCCTGATCCAAGAGGAATGGACTCTGCAAAATGCCTGCGGGATTAAGTCACAAGCAGCAAGTTATTCCAGAAAAAGTGGAGTTACACATGTTCATTGTATGCCTCACATGTGTTGTGTCTTGTTTCTCATTTCAAGCTCTTGAACTTGAACCAGTTTCATCCTCTTACTAGAACATTACATAGGAATATCTTCAGAAGTAAAAGAAAAAGTAATTTTTAATCTCATTACCTGTGATCTCTTAAATACAAAAGTGACCCAATTAGATGGTTCCTGACTTCAAGGTCCCTAGACTGTCAGATTTAAAATGTAAGAAGTCCAGATTTTTGGGGGCGGTGTTTGTGGTCCTCATAAATATTATCCACTTGGAAATAATCCTGAATTTAGATTTTAAGCATTGACTGTACAGGCATCCTTCGATGTTCTTTAACTTGCAAACAGACCTCTGTAACCTTCATATGGCAAATTTCAATCACAATTTCAGTTTGCCACATAAATACCTTGTGAGCTCTAATCAGATTTGTCACTGAACTGAAGGACAAAGCAGACAAGTGTTGATGGTCTCTTATTATAATGTAGTGTAGGAGGGTGGCACTATTTTCAATGAGTTTAAATGAGCTAATAAGAATGTGTCCGTTGACTTTGAATGTTTTTTTTAAATGATTTTTCAGGTGGTAGTTCTCATAGGAATATGATCAGAACATCTGTCACCATGTTTCATGCTGCTGTAGTTAAGGTAATCCATAAGGTAATCCATAAGGACTGTGAATGCATAATCAGGGCATTTTTTTTGGTTTCTGGTGCCTCCTAGTGGAAGCTAAAAGGTACAAGTTTTACTTTAAGGGTGCATCAGCAACTTGTGTTTTTTGACGCTGTATAATTATAGTGACCTTGTTCTTTGAGCCAGGTGGATTGTGACTGAGTATAAGCACACAAGTCAAATACAAGTACCTCTAAACTGTGCTGATGTACAGTACTTGATTGATTGCACGACTGGTGGTTGTGTACACACTCGCATAATGTTCCAACTCTTAACACATTTCTAATGCAGCCTAAGTGTTAAGGTTATGGAAAAGGTTTTACAAGTTTTAATTCAAATGTGTTTGTTTTCCTGATAAAACAAACGTATGTGCCGACTCCTCTGGGTCTTAATTTTCTTCTGAATGGGTTCTTTATAGATCCAAACCTCAGGATCCACACTGCTAATGTGCTCACTTGATGATATTTATTATCTCTCTTCTTTTTTTTTTTTTTGCACAAACATGTCACAAGACTTTGAATCAGTAATGGGATATTGAATATAATGTTGCCTTTTGAATATATCACACACTGACCGTTTATTCACATATAACCAAAGGTCTTTAACAGGCTGGTGCATTGTTCTGCTCAGAGTGCAGAGAGCTCTTAGTAAAGTGTCTCTGCTTTCTAGTGAGAGCATTCTAGGTGTAGTTTGTTGAAACAGGTAGAACCAGTCAAACTTCTGTGTTTGTATTGTAATGTGCTCTTTCTCAGCTGTATGTGCCTTCTGTGAGTGTGGTCCACCAAACAACTTGTCTATTTTTATATTGTAACATGATGTTTTGTGTACAGTGTCTAAAGCAAAATAGAATTTACATAAAGCTGTAGGGTTTGCCAGATGTTATTCAGGTCTTTTTGAAAGTTTAGATCATGCTAAACCAATGGAGCAGCTTCATGTTTTGTAGTTCAGGTCAGTCTAAAACGTTTAGGTCTTACATAGACCATGTTTTGTGTTATCCCGAAGTACAACACCAGCCAACGGTAGATTTGTTTAATGTTGGTTGCTCTGGATTGTGTCATTGTAACCACAATATGTCTGAAGTAAACTATGAATATATTCAATGTATTTTTCACGTATGAAGTTATTATATACTCCGGAAACTTGAATGTTGCAGTATAACGAGCATAGGGTACCAAATGTGTTTTTTTTTCTGTTCCTCTTTTGCGTATTTGTAGAATTTTGTTAACTGTTTGTATTTATCATGTTTTGGACAAACAAAAGTTGCAAAAACGTTTTTTTTTCCCCCAAGTACGTTTTATTTCAATAAAGTAAATAATAAAATGTGCGTTTCTGTGAATTCAATTTAATTTTTTTATGTAGCTACCGGCTTCTTTTGTTTTTTACAAGTTATTTTCAAGAATAACTGAGAATTTTATTCTTTATCAGAATAAATATGTTATTTTAAATAGTCAACCAGCCCTCTTAGAAAATGTTGAAAGTTCTCTTTTGACAGTAACTACTGCTGAGATTTGACATTGGATAACGTGTAGAGAAGGTGAAAATATTTGTTGAATGTTGTTGAAAACAATTTTAGGTAAGTACCTCCCAGGGACCAGAATTACTATCCCAAAGGTGTTTTGCACTCAAATTCTGTTTAACAATAATATGAAAAGAAAATTTCTCACTTTTCTGATCAGTCATGTTAAAAAAAGAAAACCATGGTGGCAGTGATTTTAAACCTTGCATAGCTTTAATAAGTGAAATATTCCATCAAAGTGGGATGACTGTTCTTGAAAAACTTTTTTACTTTACTTTTTTAAAATAAATTAAAACTTTGTGTCTGCTTGCTTCTTTGCTTTATAATACATTTGTGTACACTGATTCTGTAGGTTACACACGGATACACACAAATATTACCAAGTGAGGACTATCATTTTACACACACGGATACACACAAATATTACCAAGTGAGGACTATCATTTTACACACACGGATACACACAAATATTACCAAGTGAGGACTTTCATTTTACACACACGGATACACACAAATATTACCAAGTGAGGACTTTAATTTTACACCAACCAAGTGAGGACCATGTTTAATTGTAGAGTGATTGTACAAGTATACGTATAACAATTGATTTGACTTATTGTAAGTGCTTCTTTACCTTGTTATACATTAATGAACACTTGCTCAATCTGTTTGCTGCAAACACACACACACACACACACACACAAATGCAATCACACTTGTATAACCAACTGTGGACTGTGGGTTTAAACCAACCAAGTGAGGACCAAATTACAATCCTGTAACTGTAGATGTGAGTTTGTAAAAAATTGCTTCAATTACGAGTGCTTTTGGAAACTTTTGATACATTAAATATTTTTTCTGAGCAATAAAACAATTTCATCTAGTTAAAAAATTTAACAAGGCATATTCAAGACTCAGTGGGTCCTCATCTTGGCTTCATAAATAAAGTCACTAGAGGGGACTTCTACAGTGACCCTTGTTGGATTGTTGGTCCACTGTTGGTGATTATGTAATGATGCCAAGGTGTACTGTTGGAAACACAAAGTAGCATAACCTTTGAATAGGAAAGACTGAGAACGCAGAACCCTAATGTGAGTTGGGCCGACAGAGATACTGGAATGATTAGCTGTGAATCTAGGGAGGGGCTGGTGTTTACACCAAAATAAAGGACCAAAATGTGTGCTTAACCAGTACACAGACACACTGCCCATGCCTTTATCCCTCTGACTAACCGCCTTCCTTCCATCCTCCTCAGGTGACTGGCCTCCATCTATCTTGCGTTCTGGGGGGATTGTTGCGGAGGCATCACATTTCAGCCGGGTGTGCACTTTTTGCTTCATTTGCTGCCCTGCTGATAGGTGCTCATTCTTGGAGGGAGGCCTGACTAACTCCCTAACCAGGACTTCAGGAGTTGGGTTCCACTGACTCATGCATAAAAGATACAGCAGTGGAGGGGAGATGTAGCCGAGCACGATAACAGCTACAGTAACAGCTCTTTTGCTACAGAGTGCAGGTCAGACACAATAAGATATTAACCCTAAACAGCCTGTGCTGCTAAGGTGGATCTTGATGCTCCAGAGGGGGTATCTGTCCTGGGGATGGACAAAAGCACCAGGGTGCTGCTCTTTGATGGGTGAGTGGCCCTCGTACAGTGGCACCAGCTTGTCATCATGGAGCTGCCACGACGCCTGAACTGGATAAGAAACCGACCCTGGAGGCCTCATGTCTGCCACAGGGAGTTCAACCGTAAGTGTTTCTCTTTTCATTTCTGTTGATAGCTAAAAAAAAAAAATGCATTGAAATAATCTGAAGCCCTGCAGTTCTTTTCTCTTTCTGCTCTGATATTCTGCACTTTCTTGTGGACGTTCTGTGTCCACATTTCATATTCTAAGTGCTGCTGTGAACCTGAGAAGCCCCTAGTGAAGTCATCTCTGTCATGTCAGGCCAAATGTTGTTACTGACTCTTTACACTCTTTGTGCTGCTGCTGCTGCTCTGAGAGAATCTGTATGTGCTTCCTCATGTGGATCGTAGACACTGTTATCTATTGTTTTTAATGGTTTCAAATGTAGCCTATTTAAATACAGCCAATTATCCAGGTTTTGTGAATTACTAATGTGACTCAGATAGTGGATTACACCAAGCAGGAACCACTAACATCCCCTCATCCCCTTGACTCATCTGTCACATAACTGCATTTTACTTATCATGTTACTTGAGCATCTTTTTCACTATTCATCACTGCACTGTTTCATATTTAGTCTTGTAAATATTAGTCTTCTCTTATTATGTTTATTGTTGATATTTAATGTTCTACCTGTTCATAAGAGAGCACAGTTCACCAAAGTTAAATTCCTTGTGTGTGTAAGCATACCTGGACAATAAATCTGATTCTGATAATGTAAGCAATGTCTCAATTTGAAGTAAAATTATACACCAGGCTGAACATGACATTCACTCTAATATCTTCTGTCAGCATTAATCATGAAAACTGGACAAATAAACCTTGTTTTTTCATCACAACACATCACACTCCATTTGTGGAGGTGTTTCCATGTGAAATCCTTAATTAAAAAATAATCTGATATCCCCGCTAGATGTAGTAGAATAGAATAGAATAAAATAGAATAGAATAGAATGACTTTATTGATCCAAAACTGGGAAATTGTGGCGTTACAGCAGCAGGTTGTCCAAACACACAATATTATCAAAAACACAATATTAGCGAATTTAAACACAATATAATATTGAATACAAAGTTAATAAGCACTAAAAATATCGAAACTAAGAATGGGAATATATACAACCAGGATTTAACTTAGCATTACTAGTCTTAATTAAGAAAAGATTAAATACAACATACTCTGCTGGAGGTACATGTAAATGTCCAAATGTAAATATTTTACTGATGGATGATAATTTCCTTACTCTTACATGTTAAAGAAGCTTTTATTGTGAAATCCTCGTGGTACATCCACACAGACATTGGTCAGTTGACTCTGAGGTGATCAATGAATGTTTTATTGCTTCTGTGCTGATTTTGTCGGATCAGATTGTAGGCAGAAGGGATTACAGCACTCAGGTAGCTGTGCCTAGTGGGTCTAGTGTTTTGTAATTTGGATCTGGTGTTGCTTACCAACAGCACACCTTCTTTGCTTTTTTTAAGTGGATACTTACACACAGGAAGAATGTGTGTGTTAAGTGCGTACTACCGTTGTGCATTAGGGGGATGGATCGATTGAAACTAAGTGCTCACTGGCTGCTGTCGTCTTAATGTTGCTGAGTTTAAAGGCTCTTGTTGCTAAAGCTTCTACCTTGAACCAAATGCAGTTCTGTCCACATCCTGTCAGCCTATTTTATATTTTATGAGAATGTTTGAGGTTAAGATGCTGAAGAGGAAACGAGTGAAAGCAAAATGTTTCCTTAGCATACTGAAGCATTTCAGATCCTCTGTGGGGAAGAAAATGTTCTTTTGTTTTCATAAAGCATTAAAACCTTGTGTTTTGCACTAGTTGACTGACATTGTTTCAGTCTGTTGGGGATGGGGAGCACATGCTGCCTTTGAACAATTAAATGGTAATGACGGGACAAGACTTAAAATGCTGACGCTTTTAAAAGAGCATGATCTGTGTAACAACGCTTTTGATTGATTGTGTAATAGAGGCTGTAAAAGCCGTTAAACTTTCCCAGGTAGTGGAAGGGGGTACTACTTTCCTAAATGGAAAACATTGTAAATGGATCAGAAATTATGTTAAAATACCATTGAAATGAAATGTGATAAACACAGATGTGTCTTCACTGCTGCTAATTGCTGTGCTTATGTTGGATTAACGATAGGTCTTTGTAATACAGCATTGAGTAAGGTCCTTTCCCCTACTCTTTTGTAATATTAAATAACAGAGTGAGGGATTGTACCTGCTTTTAGAAAGTAATAGATATATAAAGATGATTGACTCATTTATTGATTCGCTTCAGTCTGTACTATAAATATTCATAACATTTCCTTCCTGTTTTCAGTCAAATTTTTAAAACATATTCCTGCAAACATGTTAGGCTTTCCCCTTTCTAATGTCTAGTGGAAAGAAAAACATAACTAAAAACTACAGGCAAACAAAATCCTTCCCCCACATTAGGGGAGCATTTCCCTTTTAACTTCTTTAATTTTGACGGCACTTCTTAACAAATATAAACCCTAAACGCTTTGAAGCTGAAACAGGAAGTTTTAAAGAAGCCACAGAGGAAAGTTGTCCTTTTTAATGGTACCCAGAAAACCCCTTCATGGTACCCTAACCTGATTACTGGTTTACCTCTAAATGTTTTTGGGCTGGTATCTACCAGCTTTCATAAAAACCTTTCAGCTGTGCTTGTGCAAAAAGAAAAACACCCTTACCTACTCAGGGGTGATGTTAATGTTTCATTTTTAGTTTCTACTGTGATTATCCCCCTGTCTCACCTGCAGGTTTGATAACTTAAAACACCTTTTACCTTTGAGTTTGATTAAACCTGAATAAGTCTGTTTTTATTTTCCACACAGGACATTGGACAACTCTTCACAGTTTATGGCAATTCTCTGTGGATGTGCGGTGTTTTCTCTCTCCCATGTTTCTGAAGCCATGGATATTAACTTAGTCTGTTAACTTGTTTATGTGTTATCAATGTAGTTACTCTCAAATGTTCCAGTTTTCACTTTAGTCACTTGCATCAATATAGAAATGGTCTTGATGGGTATCAAAAACCAGTGTCCAAATATATCTTTCTGTGATGTTCCCCTTTATTGGAGAACAATGATTGAAAATGATTGTATAAATCC